TTTTAGTTTTTGATTGGGATTGGAGTGGAAGGGAGTCTGGACCGGAACGGGGTGGGCGGCTCCGGGGTGGGGGGGGGGTGTAATTCTCCCCCCTTCTCCCTGAGACACGAGGAGACGGTTTCGGGGAGCTTGGTGGAAGTGGGGGCGAGGGGTCTGGCTATCCGGGATGGGGTCCAAAAAGAGTGGAGTGCTGGGGTGATGGGGGCAGGGCCCCAAACGCAACCCGGGCTGTGCCAAAGTTGGCTCTAACTCCCCCTCACTCCCAGCTCCAGACACACACACACACACACACACACACACACACACACACACACATACACACACACATACACACACATACACACACATACACACACATACACACACACATACACACACACATACACACACACACACACGCACATACACACACACATACACACACATACACACACATACACACACACATACACACACACACACGCGCACACACACACACACACACTCTGCAGGCCGTCTGTCCGTCTGGGATTTGTGTCCCAGCCGTTTCTGCCCAGTGTGTAAATATTTATGGGGGCCTCAGGCGAGGGTGGGGGTGTCTGAGTCTTTCTCCCCTTCCCTTCCCCCAACCCAACCAGAGCCCAGCGCTTCCCGAAAACTTTTGTCCGCCTAAAGCGGCCGCAGGACCCGGCCCTCCCCTTCTTGCCATCTGTCTTGCTCGCCTTCCTCCACACCAGGGCCTGGCCAGTCCCCTTTGCTCCTACCCTGCACACACACACACACACACACACACACACACACACACCCCTTCTCCCAGCTCACAGGGTCTGTAACCTCCCCGGGTTCCTGCAGGAGCCTCCCTGCCCGGGGAGGTTTGAGACTCCCTGAGGGTGGGAGCCCCGTGGGCTGTGGCCTCAGCCCCCCTCATCATACAGATGTGAGCAGAGGCTCCCAGTGGAACACAGGGTCAGAAGTCGGGAACTTCTGGGATCTGTTCAGGGCAGAGGGCTGGGGTGCAGGGATGTAGGCCCAGATTGCATGACTTCAATCCCAGCTCTAAGTGAGTCTAATTCATTTGCCTCTTTCTCTCTCTCTCTTTCTCTCTCTCTCACACACACACACCCCACTCTCCCTTTCTCCCCCTTTGAGTAATGATGGTCTGGTCCTGGACCTCTGACACGAACTCCCGGCCTGGCCTTGGACAAGTTCCTTCCCCTCTGGCCTCAGTCTCCACATCCGCCCATAGGAGCCTGTCTGCCTGCTGGGGGGCCTGTCCCAGCTCCCCAGGTCTGCCCACTGAGAACCATGGCACTCTGCCCCCCGCCCCCGCCAGGCCATGGAGGTGGGGGGCCTCCTAGAACAGAGTGAGGACAAGCGGGGGATATCTGGCCAGGGGCCAGCACATGAATGACACTAATGTTCCCGCTGCACGCGCCCCCCATAATCCTCAGATTCCTCCTCTCTGTGGGCCCCTGGAGCAGGGGCTTCTGGGGAATAAGCTCTTCCAAGAACTGGGCTCCTTCAGGCTGGAGAGGGCTGGAGCCAGGGGCCGGGAAGGCTTTCTGGGGGCTGGGAACCTTCTCTCTCCTTCTCAGCTTCCCTCACCCCTCCTCTCTTTCTCGGCCTCCTTCTCTCCTATCCTCCCACTCCCTGCTTTCTTCCTCTGCTTATCTGTTTTCTCTGCCACCACCCCTACCCACCAGTGCCTCTTTCCAAGATCCCTCCCTGTGCGACCCACCCACTCTCAGTCCCGAAGGGAGAAGAGGGGCTAAAAGACCAGGGGGACCACTGGGAGGGTTGAGCCCGGGGCTGTAACTTGAGGCCCCCGGCACCCCAGCGAGCCCCCTCCCCAGGCCAGGCTGAGCCAGACAATGTGGCTTTCATAACAGGAGGAGGCCTGGCTCTGCCGCCTTGGGAGCATGAGGCCGCTGCCCAGGAAGCCCAAACCGCAGGAGACCCAGCCAAAACCCCACAGACGCCTGAATCCGAGACCAGAATCCCCCACGCTCCCTGCTGAGCCCTGACAGCACAGCAAGGCCAGGGTGCTGCCCCCGGGGGCCCTGCTGGCGGGACAGCCAGGGCACAAGTCAGCCCCTCCCTCCGCGGAGTCAGATGAAAATGGGGTGAGGGAGCCTCAGGGCAGCTCTGGTTGGGGCGGGTGGCCAAGCCCCCACACCCTTGGCGCCCCCAGTGGCTTCTCCCCACCCACCCCTTGAGAGCCCCAGAACCTGGCTCCCTAACCCACAGCAGATTTCTGCCCAGCACTGGGGCGTCACATTCCTGCTCTTGGTTCTAAATTGAATTTCCTGGGGAATTGGAGCCTTCAGACCTAAAATAAAACCAACCCAACCCAACCCAGCCCAACTGGCCAGCTCAGGCCCTCTCCAGTCCTCAGCCGGGTGGCCTGGGACTGCGACCAGGGTGTCACAACTAGGCATCAAGAGAGTCCACATTCTCGCCTTCTTGGGGTTCAGAGCCAGTCACCACCCCCAGTCCTCACTGTCTCCTCTATCCTTCCCTGGCCTGGGTGATTCCTAGCTCCAGAGCTCAGTCCTCACCCACAGACCTTGCTGAGTGCCCCCTGCGGTGGTGCGAGATGAACAGTGACACTACTGCCAAGCAGAGCCAGGGAGGCTGCTGGTGGGGGGTGGAGGGGAGAGGTTTGAGGGGCCAGGACTCCACTACCAGGTTATAGTGAACAGCAGGGGTGCTGAGTGCTAAGTTCAGTCAGTGGGCCACTCGGAGGAGGGACAGTTGGCTTGGAGCTCAGGGAAGGCCCTGGAGGAAGAGATGAGGCTGGAGCTGGGTTATGGAGGGAGGTTGGATTGTGGGGTGGGAGAAAGGAACAATCTAAGCCTGAGGGGATGGGTCAGAAGGCCTGAGGCCATGGAGAGGTCAGTGTGCCTGGAACATGCGATCCTTGTCCATTGCTTATTGAAGGTCTAGAGACTGAGGCCTTGAATATCAGGCCAGGGAGAGGCTGGAGTTCTGAGCAGAGCAGATCCTGGTCCTCTCTGCAGAGATGGTCAGAGCTCCCAGGGAGAAGCCCAGACCCACTGTCCACAAAGCCCGTGGAGAAGGCTGGGTGTGCAGGGTCTGGCCTTGCAGCTCCAGAACAAGGGCCCTGTGGTCACTGTCCAGCCTTGGTGCGAACCCATCCCACCTGGAAGAGGCCCCCCATTTCTTCTCAGCCCAGGAGTACCCTCTCAACTTGGTGGACAGCAGGCGGAGGGAGCCCACAGGTTCCCTGCTGAGATGGTGGGTCTCTCACCCTACCCTTTGGGGCTGATGGATTTAAACATGATTTTCCCACCCTCTTCTCGGCTGTCTCTCCAGAGCTCAGGGCGTGGACCAGCGCCTTATCCTGTTAGGAATGAAAGTGTGTCAGGCAACGGGGCTGTTGCCTTTCTGTACTTCCCGCTTGTAGATGGGGACCCCTGAGGGGGAGCAGGGCTGGGGCTTCTGCTCATTAGAAAGAGGTGGCCCTCTGCTCAGATGCAGCAGGCATGCAGCTGGCTGAGCCGATGGCACCTCCAGGAAGCCGGGGACAACTAGGGTCTTCAGCCCACCCCTGCCCCTTGGCAGGCGCCTTTATGCTGCCCCTCCTGACCCAGGAGAGCTGTCCCTTTGTTTCCAGGCCAAGATGCCTGAACTGGATTCTCTCTCCTGGTTATGTGAGGAGGGCAGGTGGTGGGGTCGGGGGTGGAAGTGCTCCTGAATGGCCCGCAGGCCCGGACACTGCCAGCCTCTCATTGCTCTCTGAACCCCTGAGAGGTCAGCGTTAGGAACCCCCGTCACACAAGGTAACCCAAGTCCTGGTAACTTGCCCGAGCTGGTACCTGGGGAAACCAGGGCGTGGATCTTACGGCTTCTCGCTCAGACTTCTTCCTTTTACCAAAGGGAGCGTCAGCGCTCCCTGTTCAGGGCCAGAGGCCGGAGCTGGGCAGGCCCCTTCTTTCCAGGGAATTAGGACCCAAGCCCTGATCCCCGCCTTCACGCACAACCTGGGCCTCAGCCCTGAAAGTCTTGTCTGAGCTGCTGCAGATGCGCTCAGGGCGAGGAGAGGCCCATCGAGCAGGCAGCATCTCCTCCTTCGTGTCATCTCCACTCGCCCTCCCCACCCCGTCCCAGGTCCCAGCCTTGTGACCTTCCAGAAGCCATCTGACCTCTCTCTCCTTACTCAGGGTGAGGGGGTTCTCAATGGCCCAAAGAGTGGGTAGGGCTGGACGGAGCCCACCCCGTCTCCGCAGAGCAGCAGGGGGCACCATGAGGGGTTCCCAACACATGACTCTGGTGTCCCCCAGAACTCGCTGGCTCCCCAGCCACTTCTGCCTCCGGCCCTGGCTCCTGGCTCCAGGCAGGGCCTGTGTTTCCCTGGGCAGCAGTGAGAGTGAGCGTGCCTGCCGCCCTCTGTGCTCCCCCCTGGGGCCTCCGGGGCCTGGCCCCCTGGTCATAGGAGACCAGGGTCTTCGAAACAAGAATTGCTCAGGGCTCTCTGAAGGTCAAGAGCCATAGAGGGATGCTCAGGGCCCAGGGAGGCGGCTGAGCCCCTGAGAGTCCCCCCCTCCCTTACCCTTCTCCCCAAACCTGCGAGCCCAACCTTCATTATCTCCCTCCTCTCTTTCCCCCACTCCTTTTGGAGACAGCTCAGAGAGGTGCCCCATCTGTAAGCCCCAGTGTTCCTCACCGTTGATTTGTCTCTATTTCCAAGACTAGATTTTGCCGCTCTCTCTGTCCCTCTGGTGCCTCTCTCTCGGCCTCTGTGATGTGTGTTCGCGTGGCTGTATTTTACTCTCTGGGGTTCACCGCCCGTTCCCTCCATCTTTCTCTGTCTCCCCAAGTCCCTCTCCTCTCCCTGTGCCCTTTTGGTTTGTGTCCCTCTGAGCCTCTTGTTTCTATGTCTCCCTGCCCCCCATATGGCATGTGGGGCACCCTCTCGAGGCCCCCGTCTTCCCGCTGCACAGGCTGAGGTCTGCGGAGGCTCAGGCGGCACCCTGCACCCTGTAATTGCCCAGTCTGCTCCTTGGCCCCGTGACCCTGCCTTCACCCCCCTGCGCCCTACCTCCCCGCAGGCCTTCCCACACCCCGTGAGAACCAGGGCCCCTTTCTGCCTCCCCCCTCCACCACCCATCCCCCCAACCTTTTCCCCTGGGCCCAGGGGCCCAGTCCTGCCGCCTGCCGCCTGGGGAGCTGTGGGTTTGAAGGTGGCTCCCTTCCTTCCTTCCGCCCACCGTGCAGAGGGCTGAGCTGGTCACTGTAATTACATGTGGCTGCAGCCCGCCTCTTCCCAGCCCTCTCATCCTCTCCCTGTCGCTCCTGCCCCTCCAATCCAGGCCTCAGCCTAGGTTTTCTCGAACTCTTTCTCTTGCTGTCTTCCTCTCTCTGACCCAATTTCTCACTGTCTGTCTCCCTCTCGCTCAGCCTGTATCGCGCTCCCTTCTCCTTCGCCTCTGCCTCTGACCCTGTCTTATCTCTCTCTCCATTGCTACTCTCGCTCTGTTGCTGAGTCTCCCTCCTGTCGCAGGCTGCCTGTCACTGGGTTTCTGGGGCTCTCCCCTCCCATGCCCAGTCCCCGCCTTCTGCTGCTCTATCTTTGCTTCTACCTGTCACTGTCCCTTTGATTCCTTCTCTCTCGCTGTCACTCCTGGTGCCTGTCCCTATCTCCCCATCGCTGACCACCTGGCTGTCCTCTCCTGCACTGTGTTTCCCCTTCTTCTCCTGACACCACACATACACGCATGCACACACATGCGCAGGCACACACGAGCACACGCTCGCACACCCTTGCTCACTCACGCGCTGCGGTTTGGGAGTCTATTTTGGAGTCTGGCACGGTTGCCAGGTAGGGTAAAGGCTGGGTAACTGTACAAAGAGACCAAGAATGAGAGCTCACAGCAATTCAGGCTGCAGGGAGGGGACCAGGGCTGGGCACACAGGAGGGCATGGGAAACACCTCGCTCGTCTGCTTTTTCCCCAGCCCAGACCCCATCGCCCCTGCCTGGGCTGGAGGCAGGAACAGGACCCACTCACCCTGTGGAGGCAGTGCTAGAAGAGGGCTCCCTGGAGGAGGAGGCACCCCCCATGCCTCAAGGCAATGGCCCTGGGGCCCCCCAGGCCCTGGGCAGCACTGACCTCGACGTCCCCACAGAAGCTGTGACACGTGAGTCCTAGGGGGCCGGGGAGTTGGGGTGGCAACTCGTAGGGGTGACAGTGGGGAATGCAGTCCAGATGGGCTGGCAGAAATGCAGTGGGTGCTCTTGGGAACCTAGCACAGAGCCGGGCCTGGAGGGTGGGCAGTGGAGAGGTGCATGGCACAGTCACTGTCCTTTCTGTCTAGGAAGATCTCCACGCACAGGATGATTAGTATAACATTAGTTCAAAATGAGTGTGCACAGGCAAAGGACGTCAGGAACCCAGCAACATGGCGCAGGACAAGAGAGCCTGGGGCTCAGGAAAGAGGCACAGGGACCAGGGAGGGGCAGCCAGAGCCCAGCGCAGCACCAGCCTTCAGGGTATCCAGGGCGAAAGGAAGGAGAGAAGCCCCCGGTTCATCTGGGCAGAAAGGAGCAAAATTCCGTCTGGTTCCCAGGCTTGGTTTGAGGTCTCCAAGGAGTTCTGGGAGGAAGAGCATTCTCCACCTTCACCCTCAAGAGCAGGGGAAAGGGGCAGCCAGAACTGCTTTGTAATTACTACTAAGATGCCCCAATCTGCAGACACAGCTGCACTTTCCAACTTTCTTTCCCTGAATGATCCCAAGTGCTGTCCAGCCGTCTGTTGTCAAGCAGCAGCTTGGCTATTGTCAAGCCCATTTTACAGACCAGAAAACCGAGGCCCAGAGAACCACTCATCCTGGACATAAGCTGAGGGACTCAGGTCTCCTGACCCAGTGCTCTTTCCTGGGCCTGCCCACCCGGCTGGCACGCTGAGCCGGGAGCCGCCGCTGCCAGGCAGGGCATCTGGGGCGAAGTTGGACTCCCTGGAAGTCAGGGTTGCTAAATCCTGCTCGCGCACTGCCCTCAGCCCCCTCCAAACATGCCCACCAGCAGAATTGAGGGAAAGAGGTCAGCACAGTGGCCAGTCTGGGTGGGAGTTGGACAGTCACTCCTGTGTCTATGGGCCCTGGGTGTTTGCTCTGTGACTCAGTCCCCCTGGTCACTCCACTGCTCTGGCCACAGGCAAGCTCTGTGTCTGCCCACACCCCCCAGGGCCCTCAGCTCACCACACATGCCCGCCCTCTGGCCACTGTGCCATGTTTAGGCAGCAGGGCAGGGGGCACTGAGGCCGGCCAAGGATTCAGCTCAGTCACCCCCATGGGGCCAAGAGGTGGGGGCATGATGATTCAGGCCTGGCCACTTCCCTTACCCCTGTTTACCCAGATGCAGGCACCAGCCACGCCTCAGGGCGGAAGGCTTCCAGCTCCGAGCCTCTCCAGAGCCGGGTCTCCCATCCCGCCAGACTCCCCACCTTTCTGCTCCTTTCTCCCAACCTCCATCCCCTCCCCCTCCCTCTCCTAGACGTGGACTCTTGGCGAGTTTTATCCTCTAGGGCCTCAGTTTTGCCATCTGTGAAATGGGACTAATAATAAGTCTCTCCTGATACTCAAAGACATCCCTACACATACAGCTCTTAGCACTGTGCCATTGTTCTTGCAACAAAGCTCATTCCTGTCCATGTTGTTGGCACCAGTCACAGCTGATGGTTGTGCTAGAAGCAGCTTGTTCCCCAGTCCCTCGTCTCCCAATCTCTGCCCCCTCCTTGCCTGTGGCCTGTGAGCTTCAGCTTCAGCTTCTAGGCTGGTCCACCTCTGACAGGAGCTGTGGGCCTTGGACAAGTTACTGCGCCTCTCTGGGACTCAGTTTCCTCGTCCGTAAGGGAGGACACAGCCCAGGAGCAATACCCAGAGGATCCAGCGAGTGAGTAATTAGCAGGTCAAGGGCTTAACTAGTGGCCGACCAGCAGTAAGTGCTCAGTGGTGTGGCTACTGTCATTCCCAGAAGGCCCAGCCCCTCGCCAGGCACTGAGGCTGCCTTCCCTTCTCCGTCACCGCCCCCCCCACCGCCCCCCGCCCGTCTCCTCCTACCACAGTTCAAACACAGAGGCCAGGCCGGGAGGGAGTTGGGGGACCAGGCCCCAGCACCTGAGAGATGGAAGTTCCCCATGTTGACAGAGGCCCTCGGGCCCATGGGTCCTGCCCGGGTCCTGCTCTGAGGGCTCCCAGTGCTAGTGCCCCTTCTCAGCCCCCTCCCCGACACACAGCTGCCCTCATGGCTTATGAACAGCACTGCCTTTCAGGTGAGCAGACCTGAGTGGGTGAGGGAAGAACTGGGTGTTTGGGGGGCTCTCTGGGGCCAGCTTCCCTGCACCTCGCTGATAAAGCTGAAGTCTAGTCCCTCAGCCTGCGAAGGGGACTCGGGGGCTCCTGGCCTCAGGGGTCTCCCCGCTGGCCTCCCTCTTCCCTTCTTCTCTCCCTCCTCACCCAGACCCCAAGGCCCCTCAGCAAACTCTCGCCAGCCACCCCACAGAGGCCGACAGGGCAGGGCATGGAGGAGAGGAGATGGAGGGGCTGCTGTGAGGAGCCCCCGAATTCCAGACCAGGCCTTCATCTCCAAACAGATGTTTCTAATAACTCACCCAGCGCACGAAGGGCAGGAACAGCTGGGGGCTTGGCAGAGGCCGGAGTGAAGGTTAACTACTTCACTGCTGTCCTCCCACCCCAGCCAAACTGTCCCGGTCCCTCCCCCAGCCGCCACCTCTCCTGCCCAAATCCCAGACCCTGAGTCAGGAGAATGGATTCACGTAGGGAGGAGGGGGGCCCAGCACTCCGAGCCCCTCTTGCACCTCTGACTTCTGGAATGAGCACTGGCCCGGGAGTCCGGAGCCAGGCTCCACGCTGCTGCTATTTCCTGGTGGGCCTCTGAGCAAGTCAGTTCTGCTCTCCGGGCCTCAGTTTCCTCTGCAGGATACACATCTGGCCGGTGAACTGTGGGGTACATGAGGACAAAGCAGGCAGGAGGGGAACGCAGCCTGGCTCCCAACTCCATCCCCCTTTCTCGTCATCTCTCCAGGCCAGCCTCAGGGGAACCCCTTGGGCTGCACCCCACTACTGGCGAATGGCTCTGGCCACCCCTTGGAGCTGGGCGGCGCCAGGCGGGCGGGGAATGGTGCCCTGGGTGGCCCCAAGGCCCACCGGAAGCTGCAGGCTCACCCATCTCTCGCCAGCCAGGGCAGCAAGAAGAGCAAGGGCAGCACCAAATCCGCTGCCTCCCAGATCCCTCTCCAGGCACAGGAAGGTGAGTACCCACCTCTCCCTCGAGGGGCCTCCAAAGCCGGGTTCCTCAAGGCATGACCCAGGGACCAGCAGCAGTGTCTTCACCGGGCTGCTGGGTACCAGTCTCGGCCCCAGACCAGGGCCGCTGGACCTGAACCTCTGGGTGGGGCAGGAGCCGGGGTCTAACAAGCCCTCCAGGGAGTCTGATGCAAGACTCAAGTCTGAGAACTTTGCAAAGGTGGTTGGATAAACTGAGGCAAATGTGCCTTCTCAAGGCCAACCCCTTCCCACCCCTGCTCTCCCAGAGTTTCTGTTACAAGGAACGGAGCCAGGTGGCCTAATCCAGCTTAAGCCGTCCCGTTTCTGGAAACAGAAATTTTCCTCAAGGAGTGGACCATCTGTTTAGTGAGAGCAGACAGGACACCTGGCAGAATAGAACGATGCACCATTTAGACCAGGGGTGGGCAAACTTTTTGACTCGAGGGCCACAATGGGTTCTTAAACTGGACCGGAGGGCCGGAACAAAAGCATGGATGGAGTGTTTGTGTGAACTAATATAAATTCAAAGTAAACACCATTACATAAAAGGGTACAGTCTTTTTTTTTTTTTAGTTTTATTCATTTCAAACGGGCCGGATCCGGCCCGCGGGCCGTAGTTTGCCCACGGCTGATGTAGAAGCTTAACTGGGGAGGTCGGCAGGGGCTACGAGGTGCAGTGGGAGGTCAGGAACCTGGATACACCAGCCATTGTTCTTGCAACACCCAGGCCTTCTGCAGGGCCACGCTGGGCAAGCAGCTGCCCCTCCCTCCTCCCCCAACATCAATTCAGCCTGAGTCCCAGCTGCCTGTAGCTTAGTGGTGCTTGACCTTTACCCCAGACTTTTTAAGTGATTCCTGTCCATGTTGCGGGACTCTGACCTAGTTCTCTGCAAACAGGACTCAGTGCACACATTTGCACATACGTATTCATAAACCTCCCCACCTCGCAGAGCAGATTCCGCCCGTTAATTTATGAAAGAGGTATTCATTCATGACAGTGTCGTGGGCACCGCCATGAACCAGGCTCTGTGCTATGTGCTGGGTACCCAGTCCATGGCCTCATAAGCTCTCAGAGAGACACAGCAGGGAATCACCACATGGTGTGATAAATCGTGATGAAGCCACACGCAGGGGATTATGGGAACCCAGGGGACACCCACTCCAGCCCAGAAAGCCAGGGAGGGGAGTCTAGGAAGGCCCTGGAGGAGTCTGAGCAAGGCTTAAAGGTTGAGAAGGAGGATCTAGTGAGGGATTTAGCAAAGAGGTGAGAAATGGCTGGAGTGGCTAGATTATGAAGTTCAAGGTGAGGAATGGTGGGAGGTGAGACTCCAGGCCAGGCCACGGCCAGGAGGCAGGGATGCCTTGTAAACCATGCCCAGTGGACTTCGATTATCGATTATCAGGAGGACAATAGGAAGCCACTGAGGGTTTCAGGCAAGGTGGTGACCTCATCAGAGTTACATTGGAAGAGAACGCCCTTCTTCAATTTGCAGATAGCTGCAGGGGTTCCAGCTGTACCAGACCCCACTCCCCCTCACAGGAAAGGGCTGGAGGAGTCAGACCCTCCAAGGCAGTGTGAGACTCCCACAGGACCAGCAGCCTGTGCCAGGGGCCCACCTACTCAGGGGACGTGGACACTCTGCCCCTTGGCCTGGCCCCTGGCAGGGGTGCCAGCTCAGCATCCTGGCAGCACACTGGGCGCTTCAGAGTGTGGACACCAGAGCCAGCCTGCCTGGGTTCAGGTCCCAGCACCACCACTGACCAGCTGGGTGCCCACGAGCGGGCTCCTGCATTAATTCACTTACCGTGCATTTACTCAGCACCTACCACGTGTCCAGCACTGTTCTGGGGACAAAGATGCCTGCCCCTGTGGAGCGCACAGCTTAGTGGGAGGAAAAGCTGTGTAGTGCGGTGGAAAGTGCCAAGTCCTACTGGGGCCAGGTGAAGGAGGCCAGGGCACGGGGGTGGGGGTGCCGGAATGGGGGTGCTGGGGCGGGGCGGGCAGGTTGCATTATTAAAGAGGGTGGCATTGGGGCCCTGAAGGAGGGGAGGGAATGAGCACCAGCGTTTATCTGGGGCCAGAGCATTCCAGGTTGGGGGTGGGGTGGGGGAGTAGTGCCTGCTGGAGGAGGAGCAGGCTGTATGGCCACAGCAGGGACACGGGGGACAGAGTGGAGGAGTGAACCCAATCACATGGAGCCATGGGGGCCATTCTGAGCTTTTTAGCTTTTACTCTCAGTGAGGCAGAAGCCACTGGAGGGTTCTGAGCACAGGAGGGACAGAGGGACAGAATCCCATCAAAGTATTTAAGGGCCCCTGGTGTGTGGGGTGTAGATGGCTGGAGCGGGAGTCAAAGGCGGGGAGTGGAGAAGCAGCTGCCCTGGCAGAGATTAGCAGCGTGGGAGGATTCTGGATATATATATAATTTTATATTTTTATTGATTTCAGAGAGGAGGGAGAGGGAGAGAGAAATAGGAACATCAGTGATGAGAGAGAATCAATGATTGGCTGCCTCCTGCATGCCCCACACTGGGGATGGAGCCCACAACCCGGGCATGTGCCCTGACTGGGAATCGAATGGGAACTGTGACACCCGCCCCCCTCCCCCAGTTCATAGGTCCAGGCTTAACCACTGAGCCATGCTGCCCCGGCTCTGGCGATATTTTGAAGTGCTTTCTCTGCCTCGGTTTCTTGATCTGTAGAGTGGGGTTAATAGTAGTCCCACCTCATGGAGTTGTGCAAGTTTAAACGAGTTTAATTCATGCCCAGCACTTAGAACAGTCATCAGTCTGTGCCCGTTGGTTAAGTGACTAAGGAGGGTTAAGAGCTCAGGACCCAGACCGCCTGGCGGACCCCCCACTCCAGCTGACCGGGTGGGTGGGTGTCAGCCACTCTCTGTGCCTAAGCAGGCTCCTCACAGCCCCCACTTCCCGGAGCCACTGGTTGCTCCAGCTTAATTGCTGCCGGGCACTAAGCGCTCAGTGACCGCGGGGGCTGGGCCCTGCCCCGGCCTCACCCCCACCCGCTCTCCCGCGCCCCCCGCAGACTGCTGCGTGCACTGCATCCTGTCCTGCCTGTTCTGCGAGTTCCTGACGCTGTGCAACATCGTCCTGGACTGCGCCACGTGCGGCTCCTGCAGCTCCGAGGACTCGTGCCTCTGCTGCTGCTGCTGCGGCTCCGGCGAGTGCGCCGACTGCGACCTGCCCTGCGACCTGGACTGCGGCATCCTGGACGCCTGCTGCGAGTCGGCCGACTGCCTGGAGATCTGCATGGAGTGCTGCGGGCTCTGCTTCTCCTCCTGACCGCCCCCCGCGGGCTCCGGGCGGCCCGGGGAACGTGCGCTCCCAGCTGATCGGCCCCCTCCCGTCCTCCCTCCC